AGCGCCTCGAGACGTGCAACAGCCAGCTCCAGGCACAGTGCACTGCCAGCGCTACCACACTAAACCAAACCCAAGAGAGAAGCCAAAGCCTACGCTGCCAGTGCTAGTACCAGGCTTGACAACATGCAAAATACCCTTCCCCAGTTGAAACCCAAAGGAAGACGGGTGGTACGTACTCTGGAGGTTCCTCGGTTGAGCCGGCAGAGCTGGTCAAAAGCTTGGATTTGCTGAGGATCCAACAGAGACTCTGAACTTGTCTGATAAAAGAGAGTGAGGATGTTACAGAAATAACACACAAGATGCCAAGTTACTACACACAGAAATTCATCCCTGCTCCTGCCCGTGGGCCTGGAGCAACCAGTCTGCAGCCTATTCAGGGGGGCTTTTCAGCCATCTTTCCTCTGGCTTGAAGCCACTGTGTGCACATTAGTCTGGGAAAAAAATGTCCTATCCCTGCTCAAAGAACAGAGATATGCTTACATCCACAATGATGACAACGGGGTCCGTAGCTGATGGCAGACAAACAGAATTAAGTTACCTTTGAGGAAAGGAAGACAAAAAAAGAAAGAAAGAAAAAGGAGAGGCAGAAAAACAGGGAAAGAAAAGGGATGAGAAAACTCCCCCTCAGCCAGCTGGGGAGAGAAGTAACGGGTCTCTGCAGCCTCTCCTGGGCTTTTCCCCAGGCAGCACCAGCTCCCCCCAGTCTTTTCTTGTCATCTCCTGTTAGTCTCCCCCAGCCCCACTCAGCCTCCCTGCTGGGTCACGACACAGTGCTGCTGCAGCAGGCTGTGCGTGGTTATTATGGGGAAGGATCACTATGCCAGCGACTAGTATCTGCTAATGGTATCTCTTCTAAGGTCCGTTTTTAACCCTAGTAGGATGTTAAAGCCTAAAAGGTAGGAAATGACAGGTGAAAAGGGGGTGAGAAGGCAAGGCAGCCTGCACGTCAGTGTCAGCCACACGCCCTGAGGAACTGGACACAAAGGACATCATGGTACTGCCCAGCAGTGCCAGTGTTTGCTGAGTACAAGGGTAAGTGTCACCCAGCAGCGCCAAGGCAGAATTGCAAATGGACCACAGCCTGCAACAAGAGCATTAATGCAAGGAGGGCTGCATACATACTCAAACTGCTTTAAAAGGCATCATTTACATATCTCAGGGGGAGATGACAGAGCATCACGGATTCTTGTAGGTTTGTTCCATTTTATCACATCACAATGTTTCTATTTTGAATGTTTCTGCTCATATTCCAAAGCAAAAGCATCATCAAGAAACTACAACAGAAGCCAAGGAGAACAGCCTCCCTCATGAGCAGCAATCTGGCATCTGTTGTCTCTGGGGATCTATTTTTAAGGGAACATTCAATGTTAATTCTCAAATATTTTCCCCAAAATAAATTTCCCAAGGGCTATTATCTCAAAATGCTGCAGTCCCACCAGTGGGTACTGACTGAAGCTGCATTTACTTTAAACTCCCTTTGGCAGCGGATCAAGCCCAACACGAAGAACTCCTGTCACTGCCTTCAAGGAGGGCGATCAACTAGAATGAAGGCTGAACTCCTGGCCCCAGGAAGGCAGAGGGGGCTTCACTGTTCCGCTCAAGCCAGGCAGGCTCACCAGGAGTCGGGATCATTCCCAGTCGGGCACAAATGTGCTCCTGGGCTCCTACCAGCAGCCAGGCCCTTCTCGCAGGGCTGGAGTTCTCTGGGGTTGCAGCGCATTCACTTGCTTTCTACTTCTCATCTATTATGGTGGGTTTAAAGAGCATGTTCAAAGCTCTGTGAAGATGACTCGAGTCCTGTCTGGGGAGATAAGCGCATGCTGTAGTGACACGGTGCTCTGTGGGGCACAGCACGCTGGCTCCCAAGCTTCTCTGGAAGAGCTCACCGCCAGCTCTGCGTAAGAGCCAGCACGACTCAGCACACCCCGAGGAAGCACGCTCCCATGGTTATCTGAAGCACGGGGTACGCAGCCATCCAGGTTTAAGGTACAGCTTGTGGCTGCTGCAGCCTGGGGGGGGGGCTGCAGTCTGCATTACAGCCCTGTCTCACCCCATGGTGAGAAGCACCCCATGTCCCAGGCAGAATCAAGCAGCCCTGCCCAAAGCGGGTGAGAAGCTGTGGTCTGCAGTGGGTAAGGTCTGGGGGCAGAGGGAACAACACTTTGCCAGAGATCACACTGCCTTAGCCTTTGACTCAATTTTTAATCGCTACCCGGGGAAAAGGGAAACCCCGCTGGCACCTGTACAGTGAAACTCAACTGAAGTGAGCTGCCTTGGAAGAAAGTTACTGAGGACAAAACCTGGAGCACAAAGACTCTGCAGAGGTGGGTACGCCACCACACAGAGCACCAGGCTCCCTCCCAGCAGCAGCCCATCACCCTGCTTTCAGGGCTTTCTGCTCCACCCAAGGGCTACGCTGTCCCCAGCCTCAGCAAAACTCCTGATCTGGGAATGCTTTACCCAGAGCCTTGGGTTTGCCTCCTCATGCTCCCCACAGCAACTCCGCTGTCCTCTTCCGGCAGCTCCTCCATCACACGCTCCCCCCTTCCTGCTCAGCTCTGAGCAAAGCACAGCCAGGGCAGAACCTGAATCGTTTCATTAACTCTCCTGAAGCCACGTGCACCTTTGCCTTTGAGACGTCCATCACAGTCTGAGTGGAATGTCCCAAGTGCAGATCACTTATGCTGGAAGCACCTGCTCAGCCTCACTTCTTCCCCCTCTAAGATACTCCTTATACATGTAAATAGCTATTTGCTAATCACCAATCAAGCAGCCAGTGTCCATGTTTCCCTGCACACATGGCACTGGCTTTGAACCAGAGAGCCCGTGACAGCGGGGGTCACGTATCTGCAGCTGGTGGGTTGTACAGGCACTTCCCAAGGGACATGCAGGTCAGTCTCGCTTGGAAAAGAACAAAAAAAAGCAAGGGGGAATAAAAAGAGTTACTGGGGCCACAGGCATTCAAAGACAAGGGAAATGCAATGTAATTGGCCTCCCCTCTTCTGCTATCTCTTTACCACACGTATGTAACTATCAATCAGACTGTTCTCCAGGCTGATGAGCTGAAATATTGCAGGCAATTCTTTCTGTTGTCATGGAAACAAGTGCTGTCAGGCCTTTTCCTTTTTTAACCGTGTCACTAAAGGCATGTTTTCATTCAAGAGCTACAGGGAGGCTCTCAGAGTCCAGCATCAGGAGTCAGGCATTAGTGGAACCTACTCAGCTCACTCACCCTGCAACACAGCTTCTGCCTCCAGTGCCACTGCAGGGCCGGCCGGCTCGTCAGCGTCTGCATCAGTACAAAGTGGTTCAGCACCTCCGAGCCATTTCCAGCCAAACCCTTCAGAAAGGGCTCAGACTAGATGCAGAACCCAGGAGATGCAATTTATCCCCATCAGGATCTGGGCCAGCAAGAAGAAGAAAGGTTCCTTTGTGTTTGACGGTCCTCACAGATCCCACCACTATAATGCTAATCTCCATTGCACATTTTGCTTGCACGTATTCCACCTCCCTCTGGTAGTCACCACACAGCCCTCCTAAGCCTACAATTATCTTTAATTTAACAGCTACAAAATCGTCAGCTAGTGCCTAAGCAAAGCAGATCATACAGCGGTTGTAAGCAGAGGCACTGTTAATAGTCACACCAAGAGATCCATCCGAGCGCTGCCTCGCAGAGCCGTACCTTCCACAGAAGATATTGCTACATCAATTAGAGCATCAGAGCACAACATTACCGTGGGGGCTGCTCCAGAACATGGTGTGGATGCAGCCAGACATCCTGGGGAAGGCTTTGGGATTCCCAGGAGCAAAACCAGCACTCACCTCCCTCATTTACAGAGCCAAATCCATAGGCAGTGGGTGCCAAGTCCACCTTCTGCCATTCCTACCCTGTGGCTGGACACTTATTTCACCATGGTTCAAGTAGCCTTACAAAAAGGTACCTCAGTTCATATTTTTAATGAGCCAATTAATGTAAAACTAAGTAAATCTACTCTTTTTCCACAGAACAAGGACCTGCTGTTTTCATGGCGTTCCCAAGAACCTGGAGCAGCCAACCAAAACGAGAGCAAGGCAGGCAGCCGCCCTGACCCACAGTCACTAGAATGACACCAACATCACAGAATCGTAAATGAAGCTCAGCAAAAACTCAGGACGTCCCTCTCAGGACAAAAGCTGCTTCTGCTGCAGACCTCTGCAGAGCTACTGCAGCATAAGGCACCGCTGCTGCGGGACAGACGCTGCCTGGAGGCAGGAAGTCTTGCAAGTCCCTCTGGGCAGTGCCCTCTTTGGCACTGACTTGCCAAAGCCTTCCCTCAGCACTGCAGCAGCAGCAGCAGCAGCCTGTCACACAGGCCTGCGCTGCAGCTCCGTCCTCTGATGTCTAGAGCAGCAGAACAGGAAAGCAGAAGTCTCACTTCTAGTTGAACTTAGCTGAACTTCAGGAGCAAACCTACTCAAGGCAAGGGAGAGGACAGGCTTCTTTGTGCTCTAACCCGCTGCTGCTGCAATGTGAGACACTGCAGTGGCCGAGGAGAGAGGAAGAAGTGTCTGTATTAAATACCGAGGAGCACACTGGTGTACCTCCAGTCTCCCCCTGCTAGCTGGTCTGTTCAGCAGCTCACACCTGCAGCAGGCACTGTTGGAATATTCCCTTGGACTCCCGCTGATGCCTCCAGCCAAAGGAGCAGTCACACTGCTCAGGATTAATTAATCCAACACAAAACACGCATCTCCTCACTGGACAGACAGCATGGCCCAGCAGATGAGACACATATTTATAATGCAGGAGGCTCCAAGGGCAGCACGGCAGCACACGGATTAACCCTTACACAGAGGTGATGTGCAACAGACTGACCTCAGTGCAGTGCTGGAACCCAAGAGGACAGAGTGTCGTGCATGAAGGCAAATAATTCATTTTCTAAACGTGAGCTAAGAGGCTGTTGCACAGCATCCCACAAGAGCCAACCACAGAAGACTCAAGAAGTGCAGAGTTCTCTCAATGGCATGAATTTGGGGAGAGAAAGGGAAGATAACGACATGTAGAAGAAGGACGAAGACCTACTTGGTGTACAAAGGATTAGTGACCCCTCCTGCCATTGATAACATCACCCCAAACCTTACAGAAAATCCAAGTGGACGCCCCTGCTCTCTGTCCCCTTCATAGCTCCTGACACCCATGTAGCAATCTGCTGTTGCTGTTTAAGAGGGAAGTTTATAATGTGCTTAAGAACAACTCTGGCCCTGGGAGCTCAGCTGC